CAGAAGAGACTGGTGGGGAAATTTCTTCAGGTTTGGTTCATATTCCCCATCGTTCACCCACTGGACATCACGCTGCCAAGGACCAGATCCCACAGCCCTGGTAGCGGTAGGAACAACCAGGCTACACTACTCCCTACCCAGTGTCTCCTTGTGGCTTCAGCAGCGGCAGTCCTGCCCAGCACGTTCCCACAAGCAGTGAGGCCAGCTAAGCCACCTGGCCTGGCATGGAGGACCCCACAGCTCTCACCTCTCCCCTCTGGGCTGCCACCCCTGCAGCACCCCCCACCCCCATTCCCCACCTCTCCCCAAGTCCCCACTGCTCCCCAAATCCACTCCCAGCTGTGTGGCCAGCACTGCAGCCCAGCCAGCTGGGAAGGAAGGGGTGGGTACCAGACACTGTGAGACCCTTCCTTGCAGGTGGCAGCGGCCAGCCCTGCCTCCCTGCACCATGTCTCCCTGCATGGAGTTCTGCTGCTAGCACGAGCTCGCGGCAGCCGGCATGTCTCTGTTTTTCAAATCACTCCCCTATGCAAGATGGAATTTAATCTTCAGATGGGGGAACTAAGCCTGGCAGAGGTTGGGTGACTTTAGTCACTGAGATGGAAATCTGGCCCCGCCTCTGTGTACTTCCTGCCCGCGCCCCCCAGGGCGCACCTTGTGATCCCTCTCCCCGCCTCCAGCGCCCGGGAGGCCTTTCCAGCTCACCTGGTGAGCTCCCCCCCCCCTTCCTAACCTGCCGCTGTGTTCTGCTCTCCCCAGACCTGCCCATGCAGATCCTGAAGCCCGCAACCTTCACCGACACTGCCCACTACCCGCTGCTCCTGGTGGTGTAAGTATCGCCGCCCTCCCTTCTCAGGGCGCCTGCTGCAGGATGCAGGATGCCACGGAAAATGAATATTGAGCTTGTCAGGAAAGATGAACGGGAGAAATGATACTGTTGCAAACTAAAAACTTAAAACAGCCCATCAGCAAATGTCAGGTTCTTGTCACAATTGGTGGAGACCCCCAGAGGCTTAAGGAAAGTGGGAGCTCTGTGCCCCCTCCCCAGTCTACTTCAGGGCAGCTGTTACAATGACAGCAAGTCTTAGGTCAAACGCCACAGAGCGTCCAACAGTGGCTGATGAAGGGCTCAGATACAGCAGTAAAAGCTGGTTGAGGAAGTAGAGCCAGCACCCTGCAGACAGGCTGACCCTGAGGCAGGCAGGGGACAGGTGCCCAGAAACAGAGACACGGGACGGCTAGAGCCCGTGGGCGCCTGAGAGCCTGACAGCCTCATTTGCCAGCAAAGAATGATCAGCCACCCTTATGTGAATTAACAAGCCCCCCAGCTTAGAGTTTGAGAACACCTTTTTAAGTGCTCTATGAACACCTCTGAAGACAGGAGTCTGATGGGCTTTTGCACACCAGGACCTCCCCCTGGTGTGCGCTCTGATGAGCTTCCTCTGGTGAGGGTTAACTTGCACTCGCCCGGGCACGGAAGCTTAAAGGAAGGCAAATATCCCATTCACCTCCCTGTCAGTTCTCCCGAGACCCTGGAGCAGGAGGAACTGCTGCGTGCTCTCGCCGCTCTCTGAGAGCCCATCCGTCTCCCGGACTTTCCCAAGTGGTGGCCAGGGTGGAGGCCTGCACTGGGTGGTTGGAGGGGCCATGTGCAGCCGCCCACCTGCATAAATGCCACACAACCTGAGGGAGCGCTGGTGAGCTGGACGGCCTTGCCCTGCTCCTGTCCTAGGGGATTAGTCCTGAGTCACAAAAAAGCCTCATTAGGAAGATGCCCGGGGCATGTCTCCTTGTCTCTGGGACTCCATGTCTTCTTTTTTTGTGTGTGTGTGACCGGTAAGGGGATCGTAACCGTTGGCTTGGTGTTGCCCGCACCGCGCTCAGCCAGTGAGCCCACCGGCCAGTCCCATATAGGATCTGAACCGTGGCCTCGGCGCTCCCAGCGCCGCACTCTGCCAAGTGAGCCACAGGGTCGGCCCTTAGACTCCATGTCTGATCCTATTTGCAATCAACCCACTTTCCTCACTCCCTGGACTGATTTAACACTTTGCCAACAACCATACACAGCATGTACGACTCCACACCCGTGCACACGCCACACAATTGTACACCCAAACACATACACACACCCAAACACACATGCACACGCCCAAACACACCTACATACACCACACACACACATGCACACACCCAAATACACATACTCACACACACCACACACATGCACACAAACGGACACACAGCACACACACGTCCCTCACACTGA